ACTCAGCTTCATCAGATTTGCAGCTTGTCTTGGCAATGCATTTTATAGCAACAAAAGAACCATCTCTGAGGAACCCCTTGTAGATGGCTGAGAAGTTGCTTTTCCCCAATAAATTCACCTCCAAAAAACACTGTGTAGCACCCTCGACTTCTCCTAAATTGAACACGAAGCTCTCAAAAACTTCCTGCGAAAACCCATTTCCATTTCGACCTTTGTCTAGAGGATCCCATCCATTCGAATACTCTAAGCTGATTAGGGGAGAGGCACTCCTTCTGTAAACCTCCTTCACCTGGTCAGTACTAAGCCGACCATCTGAAGCATCAAAAGCACTCCCAATTTTCTGTTTTCTGCAACGGTAACATGCAATCGTGATAAGTCCAATGACAGATAGGGCAAAAATAACTCCAGTGATGCCAAATATCACACCCACTTTCGGCTTCTTGGATGGGCTAGAACAGTTATTTTCCCTGCAATTAGGGTATGACTTTGCAGACTCTGGAATACACTTTTTGCATAAACCATCGGGCTTGATTGGTTCAGGCCTGTCTGTAACCGTCTTCCTTGAATCAGTACATACCTTCAGATTGGAAAACCTTGTAGCCGCACAAAGCTGGATTGTTTTCGTATTGGAACCCAGCATTCGGTCTCTTCAAAGCTGCATTTCCATGCAGAAGACAATAATAAAGACAAGTTAGAACCTGCTCCGTTTTAATTTTATACAATTCATTGATACAAACGAGATAGACAATAATGGCTACACAGGGTAGAGATTGATATTATCCAAAGGTACACTGCTAGAGAGAGTATTGCTGCGAATATCTAGCACTTTTAACATATATAGGAGCATCAGCTAGCTTGCGCCCGAACAGAACCGAAAAGGTTATTAAAGCTCAAATCCAACCTTGTTAACATCTCCAAATCCCACAAGCTAGCTGGTATTGCACCCATTAATTAGTTGGTTATATTGCAAAGCAAGGACCCTAAGCTTCTTCAGAGATCCT